TGCTTCTGCCTCTGACCCTCCCCCCTCTCATGTGCTCTCTCTCTCTCATTCTCTCTGTCTCAAATAAATAAATAAAATCTTTAAAAAAAAAAAAAGGTTCTGCATTTCCAGAACCATGTGGGTACAGTCGGTCTAATGGGAGGGTAGCGTTTTTGAAAGTGGATGGTAAGAAAGGTGTGTGGAGGTGCAGGCATCCAGGCTGCGCTGTGGTGGGCAGCTGCTGTTTTTCCCAGTAACAGACCACAACTCCTCCAGCCCATGGGCTTGGCGGGGGGGTGGGGGGAGTGGGGGTGGGGATGGGACACGGCCAAAGGCAGCATAGTTTCCCCCTGGCCACAATGATTGGTGTTCATGCAGGAGCAGGTCATGCAGAGAGGGCCCATTAGGATGACACCAGGGACTTTTTCTAGAACTTAGTGTGTAAGCCTAGAGCTAGGCTCATCTCTGCCACTGCAGAGGGGAAGCCTGCCTGAGAAGGGAGCCAAACAGGGAAGCTTAGCCAGCAGTGCTGGGGTCTGTACCAATGGCGGCTGCCCCCGGAAGCTGGGCTCAGCACGCTGAGTGGAAGGCCCACGGGGCGGGGGGCTGCTGTCCTGCTCTGGTCCCACAAGACCCAGTGTGCTCGCTCTTCAGCCCTGGGTTGTGTGGCTCTTGGTCTCCTAATGCTTGACCCAACTAGCCCTCAGCTGAGGAGTGGGGATATAATTCCTATCTCACAGGGCTCACGGAGGGCAGACGGTGGCTCTCACACCCGGAACCTGGGGGGGGCAGGGCCTCACCTGCGAGCTGAGCTGCTCGGAAGACAGCTTGAAGGTGGTTGTGATCTTCTTGGCCAGCACACTGGCCTCATTGAAGCCAAAGGAGTAGAGGGAGATCTCTGCGATCATGGCGTAATCCGGAACCATCATGGCCACAGGCCGGAAGAGCGCCTGGGGCATGTGGCACCCGTGTGAAAGGAAAGGCAGGCCTCCCCTCCCAGAGCCCCGCCGAATCTCTGGACCTCACTGTCCTCAGTGGTCCTCAGGCCTCGGAAGGCAGGCTCACTGCCCTCCTGCCCCACCGATGCTTGGATTCCCCTCTGCACCTCACCTGCCGTGGCTGAGGCTGCTTACCCTCCCCTGTGGCTGGACGGCTCTGCCGTTAGAAACCTGTCCTTCGTGTGGACCTGAACCCCCCGCCTGACTTCTCCCAAGCCTGAGGACAAGCCTGGGGCCTCCTCTCCATGGCTGGGGGTAGGTCTCAGCACCCCCAGGCAGGAGGGTTGCCCCAGGGAATCCTTGTATAAGCACTTAAGCACCTCTGAGGCCACAGCCCCCGGGCTTTCCAGTACCCTGGGAAGCCCCTTGGGCCACTCTGTGCCTGAACTCACCTTCAGGTTATCGGGCAGCTCGGTCCGGCCAGCGTATCCTGGGTTCATGGTGATAAACACCGCACAGGATGGCACAAGTGGGATCTCAACGCCTTCAAACATGAAGCGGTCTACCTGCAGGGGGAAGGGGTTGGCTCACCCGCCTCCTCTCTGGATGGGCCGCCTTGTCCCTGTGGAAGCCCCGTCCTGGCTAGAGCTGCTCAGCCCAGGAGAGAGGGTTGGCTCCTCTCTCAGGATCTGGCCTAAGACCTCAGGTCCTGGTGGGCACTGGTGGCCTCCGAGGTCCCGGCTCCCCGAGGTCTTCACGCATCTCCTGCTACCGACACCCTCCCCCCAGTTCCTGACACTGGTTCTCCTGGGCGTGGGCAAGCTCAGCTCTGACTAGGACCCAGAGCCCTACTGGCGTGGGGTTGGGCTCCTGCCAGCCTCCCAGCTCTTGTCGCTGGGAGGAGACCTCTGGCCCCTCTGAATGAGGCTACAGAAAGGACAAATGGCTGGAGCTTCCCGTAAGGGTCAGGATGTAGGAGGGATCCCTTCATCCACAGCAGCTTGGCCTGGAAGTTGCCCCCAGAGTGGCGCAGGGACGTGGGGCTCCCTGACTGGCTACAAAAGCCCCTCAGGGACACTTCCACATGGGGGAGTGGGACTGCCTGGTCCCCTGCAGGACGAGAGAGTATGGGCTCAGGGCAGGCCCGAGTACCCGGCTTTTGGCGCCGCCAGTACGGGGAGCCCGCGGCAGCGTGGGCGTGCTGGGACAGCTGCCAGGATGTGCTGGTAACCTGGAGGGGCACCCCGACGCTCACCCGCTGTTGCTGAGCCTTCTGGACGGTGGTGATCTGCTGCGCTACCACTGACAGCACCTCAACATCGATGCGGTTGAACTCATCGAAGCAGGCCCAGGCCCCAGCGCTAAGCGAGGGAAAGACAACGGGGGATGGGAGTTCAGGGCCCACCCGACGCCTCCAAGGGCCCTGTGACTCTGCTGGGAGGAAGCCTCCAGCGGCCATCTGGGCCAGCTCAGCCATACTCCCACCACCCACCACGCCACCCCAGCGCCCACCAGGGGCTGAGCCTTTGATTAACTATTATTCCATCCTGTCCCCCCACCATCCTGTGAGGCTCCTCTCAGGCATCGTCCCTGGGAGAGGTCAGCCTTCCTGCCCTGCCCCGTATCACCCTCATGCCCTTCCTCACCTGGCCAGGCCCTTGAAGAACTTGCCCATGGCCATGAAGTCGAGCTGGTCAGAGCAGTTGAACACCACAGTCTGGATGGCCAAGGCCTTGCCCAGGTCTTTGGTGGTCTCAGTTTTCCCTGTGCCAGCCGGGCCAGCTGGGGCGCCCCCAAACTTGAGGTGCAGGGCCCCGGTCAGAGTCAGGTAGCACCTGCAGGAGTGAGAGGAGGTAGGCATGGGCCACTCCTTCCTCAGGACTCCCGGAGACTTATGCCTGTTCTTTCTCCCAAGTCAATTCCTCTGGTACCCTGAAAGGCAGCTTTGACTGATGAAACTAGTAAAGTTCATACCCTTTAGATGCTTCCTGAGTGCCATGCGTGTGCTAAAAGCTTTACACCTCGGCTCATGAAATTCTCATAACCACCCTGAGGAGGCTGCAGAGGAAACTGGGGCACAGAGGGTCGAGTCAGCTGTCCAAGGTCGCCCAGCAGAGGGACAGAATTGGTCTTGAACTGAAGCCCGTGCTCCTAACCCTGCATTGTTTTAATGGACTGGCCCAGCATGGACTCCCTGCGCCTCACGGTCCCCAGACTCTCGGGCCAGCCAGAGCTGGAGGGAGGGCGCCAGGGCAGGAGGGTACATGGGGAGGGAGATGCTCACCTGTCGGTCAGGGGCGTGATCACAAGCCTCCCGCTGTTGCCCAGGTACTCATAGCCGTAGATGAACTCGGCATTCACAGCCCGGATGTACAGGTTGTTATTTGTCCAATAGTACCTGGCATTGCAGGGAGATAGGTTCCCGGACCATGGGGACCATGGGCCACTGGGTAGGGCATGTGGCCGAGGAGAGGTGGGGAAGGAGGGCATCAAGGTACCCCGCGCCCAGCTTGTCCCAGGGCCTACTGGAGACTGACTCTCCACCCTGCCCCGGCCATGGATGTGACCGGGCCAGGGGCCCCTGCATCCTCACCTCAGCTGCGAGATCCACTCAAAGTCGTTCACGCTGACTATGTTCTCCCGGATCAGCTTGCTCACCACATCCTTGGCATGGACCTCAATGACAATTAGAGCTGACAACACGGCCCGTTGCATGCGGGACAGCTTCCCTCGCACCAGGGCCACCAGGTCACTGAGCTGTGGGAGCAGGGGGGACACTGTCACATATTGGCATGGTTGAGCTAGGTAGGCTTCCCCTCCTGTGCACAGACGGTGGGCTTCCAGGAACAACCTCTCTATCCTGGGGGCTCCTGGTGGTCTAGGATGGGAAGGGGCTCAGAATGAGGCAGGGGGAGGGTGGGCGGGGCATGGGTCACTTGAGAAGTCTGGCAGGAAAGCAAATAAAAACAGAGGCACATGCATGGCGTCTGCCTCCCTGTAGCATGCGGAGACTTGTGAGCCTTCAGGGGCCAGGTGGTGGAGCCTGGCAAGGAGCTTGAGGAAGGCGTGTGGTGAGGAGCCGAGGCACAGAGCGAGGAGAGCCCATGAGACAGTGCAGGAGGGCCCCAGATGTGTGGCTCCCTCACTGACCACTGGGAGAGGGGCACCTGCCTGGCCTCAGAGCTCTCCTCAGACCACCAGACCCTCCCACGGGTGGCAGGTTGTGAGACACTCATTTCAGGAGTGTCTGACCTATTGCTCTTGGATCTAACTCCAAGCCCCTTCCAGGATCAATATAGGGAAGCCCCCCGGAGGGAGCAGTTTCTCCCAGGGTGTGGGGTGGATGGGGGGAGCAGACCTGCCGGGCCAGCTGGGGGAACAGCTGGTTACTGAGGTTACTGGCCCCCAGAGCCTCTGCCACCTCCATGGTCCAGTAGGTCTGGCACCCGGCGATGGTCACCTGGCCAGGCCACTTTAGAACCCACTGGGTCCTGGGCATCTAGAAAGATAACACAGGTAGGGCTGACCCAGGCGGCGGCTAGCCCTGACCATGCATCCTCTTTTTTGCTTAAACTTCCTCTGTGTTTCTGGGCCCAAGTAGTTAATTCCGCCTCAGAAGGAGAGAAGCCATTACGCTCTGGGCCTCTGGGGTTTGGGCCAAGTCCTCACTTCCTCAGCGGAGAAGACCTTGAAGCAGAGGGATGGGAGCCTAGGATCGGGGAACACAGTCCTGGGTTCACTGCCACTTTCAAATCACATGCCTTTGGGCAGAAAGTGTCTCTGAACTAACCCACAGGTGAGCTGCTGACCATGGACTGAGAGAGGTGCTGTGGGGGGAGGCCCTGCGCCGGGCCAGGTGCACAGTGAGTGCTTAAAACACAACCACAATAGCTGGTCATTATCAGGGGCACGTCTCACTTTTTGGAACGTTTTCAGATTCCTCCTCCAGCGGCCCCAAGGACCACCTGCCCCCAGAGATCCCGTGGCTGGCTCACTGAGAGCAGCAGGGTCAAGGCAGAGCCCGAGGACGAGGCAGGCAGGCAGGCAGGCGGCTGTGTGAAGGAGCAGGGGGTCTCCGAAGCTGTGTTGGGATGGGAGGCACGGCTCACCGTGGGGTAGGCCTTGATGGCTCTCTCGATGATGTCCCGCACGCTGGCCTTCATGCTGCGCTCCACCTCCCGCAGCCAGTCCTCCACGTTGCTGGACGGGTAGATGGAGAAGGACAGCTGCACCTCTTCACCCTCCGCCGAGTACATGTGTGTGATCTCCAGGTCCTCCTGGAATTGCAGCTGTGGGCAGGGGAGGAGTGAGAGCAGCCTTACCCCATGTGTGCCCGGAGGCCCCATGCGCCCCAGCCCCAGGACTGGCCCTGCCCCCGCGACTGCTTGCCCCGACTGCACATGGGTCTGCCTTGTCCCCAGCTGCGGCCCAGCCCACTTGGGGAAGGAAGCTAAGCCTGCCCTGCTTGTCCCCCTCCCCCACAGGTCTGTATGGCCTCCCTTGCAGACGAAGAGAAGGATGAGGTGATTCAGGAGCCTCCGCTTCCTGCGTTTCTCGTGTCTCGTGTCTCGGCCCAGCCGGCACCGCAGTGCACTGGCGGGGGTTGGGGGGGCAGGACTCCACCGAGCTGGGGGTTCTACAGCTGTCCTTCCTCCCACAAGCCCCAGCTATCGCCAAGGGCCAGGAATCTCACAGGCCACCTCAGCTCCTGCTAAAAGGACTTGGAGCCAGGAAAGAGCTATCCTCCCTGGAAAGGTGCCCCAGAGCTCCCGGGCCTGAACCCCAGGCCCAGTTACCCACCTGGGCGATGTTCTCGAAGCACTTGCGCAGGTGGGGCTGAACGGCTGTGGGGTCCTTTGTCTGGGACAGAATCTCGAGTAGTTCGTCATCTGACAGGAAGTAGAATCTGCCAGGGGAACAGGGGTGAGGGAGTGGGTCAAGCAGCCTCACATCCCAGCCCCGTGGGCAGACACTGACAGAGTGGGCATGGGCCAGGTGGTGCCCACCTGGGGAAGGCACCCCGCTTGGTCTCCAAGTACTCGCTGAGGCCCTTCTGCACCATGTCCAGCAGCTTGTTGCAGTCCCGCAGGCTGTCCAGCAGCCTCTGGTCAGAGCACACATTGATTACCTGCATGGCCCAGGCCAGAGAGTGGAAGCGAGCATGGTCAAACTGGGAGGCAGCAAGGTGGGCTCAGAGGGCACCCATGCTGGCCAGAGACCCCAGTAGGACCTGGGAAGGAGAGAGGACAGAAAAATGGCCCTGAGCCAGGGCCCACATCCATCACCCCATCAATCCACAGAAAATAGTCTATGGTAAAAAATATTAGGGTTATGGGCACCTGGGTGGCTCAGTCCATTAAGCATCTGCCTTTGCTCAGGTCATGATCGCAGGGTCCTGAGATGGAGCCCTGTGTCAGGCTCCCTTGCTCAGTGGGGAGCCTACTTCTCCCTCTCCCTCTGCCCCTTCCCCCCACTCATGCTCTCTCTTTCTAATAAATAAATAAAATCTTTTTTAAAAAATTAGGGTTAAACAAAGCCAAGGAATTTGATTTGTTGTGGGCTTTGTCAGAGCCTTTAAAATCCTAACGTAGGGGCTCCTGGGTGGCTCAGTCAACTGAATATCCAACTCTTGGTTTTGGCTCAGGTCATGATTTCAGGGCCCTGGGATCAAGCCCTGCCTTCAGGCTCTGCGCCCAGCATGGAGTCTGCTTCAGATTCTCTTTTCTCTTTTCCCTTTTCCCTCTGTCGACCCCCCCACGCTCGCTCTCTCTATATATATGATAAAATGAATAAATACAATCTCTAAAATCCTAATAATGTAGGGGTGGCTCAGTTGGCTCAATTGGTTAAGTGTTGGGACTCTTAGTTTCAGCTCAGGTCATGATCTCAGGGTTGTGAGACTGAGTCCCATGTTGGGCTCCAAGCTCAGCGCAGAGTCTGCTTGTCCCTCTCCCTTCCCTTCTGCTCCTCCCCTTGCTCATGCTCACTCTCTCAAATAAATACATAAAATCTAAAAAAAAAAAAAAATCCTAATGTAGACTGTAAATCTTCAAGGGGAAAACCAACTATTGTGTTTCTGAGGAATATCTCTCAAGACTGGGGAGTCCACTCAAAGGGACACAGGTCTCGGACTTGTCCTTCAGTCTTTCTTGTTCAGAGAGAGAAGAGACCAGGAGGCTCCCAACAACGTGACCAGGCTCCTCAGTGGTCCCGGCTGCCCCCTCCTCTCCCCATGTGAGCTCGCCTCACGGTTCTCATAGGCATTCTTCATGATCTTCCTCCAGATCCGCTCCATTGTCTGGTAGCGCTTGCTCTCCACGGGCAACTGCCGATTGATGTCCTCAGAGCTGAAGATGGGCTCCAAGTAGAGCCAGGCCCGTTGACAGTTCAGCCACTCCTCCAGCACCTCCTGGGCAGGGCATGGACCGTCAGGGCCTGGGGTCCACGTTAGGTCCTATCCCTGCTGACCTGGAGCTCTCACCCGACCAGAGTGCGGGACTGAGCACTGGACATCAGAGCCAGCATCCACGGGGGGATTTCCAGATGACCCTGCCAGCCACTGCTCCAGGGAGCCAAGGCTGCACAGAGGCCCTGGCTTCCAGAGAAACCTTGCATCCCCCACAGGACACCAGAGCCTCCAGCAGAGCCAGGGGAGCCACTCTTCCCTACGAGAGATCCACCCTCACACCAGTGAGCCCTGCAGTCACAGAGGAAAGAGCCCAGTGCATGGAGGCCCAAACCAGTTCCCTTTCCTGGAAGGACTTTTGGGTTTATGACCCCAGGAGTCTCTGAGGTATACTGGGATTTGAGCTTGAGATCCCTAAAATACTCTCTGAAACCTCAGTCCAAGATTGAGACACCTCCAAAACCAGCTGATTTCTCCTTCTACCTTCAAACTCCTCTCTACGGATTTATCTCTTTTCCCATCAGTGCAAACTCATTCATTCATTCGTTCATTCATTCCCTTCCTCGAGAGATGTGTGCTTCAGCCAGTTCTGTGCCAGGCCTGTGCTAGGCCCGTGTGGGCATCAGGAGAAACAGAGAAACAGGATGGGGTCCTGCACTTGAGATGCCCATAGCCCACGAAGCTGCCAGTTCTGCCTCTGAATCACCAAGGGCCCAGCATGTGTGATGGGCTTTGTAAGAGGCACCAAGGGCCACCTTGCTGGTAGATGTGGGGGAGTCAGTGAGGGCTGCTGGATGCTGAGCCTTGGAGATGGCAGGAAGGAATGGAACTGCAGGTGGGCAGTGTGAGCAAAGGAGGGAGACCCAGGGACAATGCTGACCAACTCAGACATCTCTGGGTGATCCAAGGAACGTACATATAAGCCCTCCTCACTCGGTTCCTGACCTTCACTGGAGGTTCCTGAGCAGCTCCCAGGAAGGTCCCAGGGAAGTGACTGTAAGAATCACGCCAGTAGGCCTAACCCCAGGACAGTCCTCCAAGGCTCAGCAGACAGCCTTAAAGAGGGGCAGTCCCCAACGACCCCGAGCCAGCTTCAAATGAGAGAGGAATGGGAGGCTCAGAGCAGAGCAGATGGCATTGAGGAGCCTCAGGGCCTTGTGGTGTCCAGCCCAGAAAGTTCTGAGACTGGAGGTCTTAGTGGTCGCAAGACCAAGCATTTCATTCCCCTCCCCAGCCACAGCATCGGACCATACATGGCCCCACCCTCACATCCTGAATCGCCTCCTCTGGCAGCCAAACCTCAGAGATGGAGAGCCTCATCCTAGATGCTCTGCCCTGAATGAGGGGCCTGTCAGAGATCGAGGAGCAGGGCAGACCCAGGTAAGGCACCTCCCCACTTCGAGCCCCACCCAGACACCATCAAGGGCTGCCTATGTGAGGGCTGGGGAGGAGTGAGGGCCCACCTGGGTCAGCTTCAACTTGCTCTCCCAGGAGTTGATGCGCTGCTCGAAGGGCTTCTTGTAGGGCGAGAAGGACATGCTCTGGGTCATGACAATGTGGTCGTCAAGCAGCTGTGAGGCCTCGTCCGGGCTCTTGAGGATATAGGTGTCTGTCTCCTTGTATGGCAGCACGTTGAACAGGATGGCTGACCACTCCTTCTCCATCTTGTCCAGTGCCTAGTGTGGGGGGCAAGTCACGGCCGGGTGCCGGGAAGGAGCCAGCACACTCCTGTATGACCAGCACCGGACAGCAAAGGGTGGGCTCTGCCCAGCCATGACCGTGGTCGTCTGGCAAATAATCTCTGCTGGTCTGGTCACCAAATCCCCCATGGGGCCTTGTCTGAATTCAAGGTCGGCTGGTACTCCTACACGTGCTGCCCAGGTACAGCATACACACCTATGTTGGGAGGCAACTGAGGTGCTGGTTAGAAGCTCTGGTCCCAGTTCTAGCCCTTACTGGCTATGTCACCCCGGACAGTTGCTGAACCTCTTTGAGCCTTAATGTATTCACCTGTTACAGGAGGGTAATACTATCAGCTCCTTCCTGGGCCAAGAAGTACTTGAGAAGAGTAACTGAGTAATAACAGGGATGGTGAACATTGCACCAAGCACTTCACATCCACAACTAACCCACCGAGTAGAATCCACCTCAACCCCTGAGCCTGGGGAACGACCCCAGGGGTGGGGCCCAGTAGTGTCCTCCTCCTAGGCCCTGGGGCTAGGTGGGCTTCCTGGTGGCCACCCACCTGCTCAATGGAATACTCTTTTCCAGCCACCTCGGCCACCTTGCTGATGCTCTCAATGTGGTCCTGCAGGTTCATCTCGAGGCAGCGAGCGAAGGTCAGGTTGGCCTTGGGCCTGACATTAATGTTGATCTCGTTGGACAGCACCTCCCAGTGCCGGTTCCGCATGCCAGGGTTGCGCAGCCCCTGGATCAGCGGGATGTAGGGCTTGAACTCCTCGATGCGGGCCCTGATGTCTAAGGCCACGTCCTGGCAGGCTGCCGGGCAGGACAGGCAGGTGTGAGAGGCAGCCAGCATCGGCAGGGAAAAGAGGGGACAGGCTGGCTTGGCTGCCTACCTGGTATGTCCTTGAACTGCTTCACACACTTGTGCATGGTCTTGAAGGACTCAATGACATTCTTCTCCAGCTGCTCGGCATCAATGGCCGACAGGGGGTCATTCATCCAACTCTCAGACCAACGCAGCCAGTCGGAGGCCGTGGTCCAGAGGTCTAGGTAGGGCTGGAACTCCTTCACCATCCTGGAGAGCTTGTCGTACTGTAGGGGCAGACGAACCAGGGCTGTCTGGGGGTGCTTCCCGGGCTCTCTGCACACTGCTCCTTCTTGGGCCAGGTCCTCTCCCCCTCGTTCCTGGCTGCCGTTCCTGCCCCTGTCCCCACGAGCCCTGGCCTGGCCTCCCTTCCTCCCGCTGTGCAGAGGCTCTGGGCTCTGAGTGGCTCAGCAAGGCCTTCTGCCTGGTCCCAGCCAGTCTCCTTGCCCTGAGGGCCAGGACTGGGGAGTCCCTCTCTGCAGCCTGCTCAGTCCTACCCGCCAAATGCCAGGGCCCTGCCACCTGGGAGTTGGGTTCAGATATGACCACAAAGGCCACAGGCTCTTCCTCAAGCCCCAGGGCTTTGGGGCCAGCGTGCCCTCAGGAGGCCTACATTGGTGATGGGCAAGCCGAAGATGCGCTCGCGGTTATTATACAGCATGGCCAGCTGCTGGCAGTCCTTCAGCTGCTTCTTGACCCGCCGCGCCTCATTGGCGATCTCGTGCGCTCGCACAATCTCCACATGGGTGGAGAAGCCAGCTACCACCAGCTGTTGGCCAAGGAGCAAGGGGTCAGAGGCCTCTGGGACCCCAACCGTGTGCGTGCATCCCCATACACACCCCATACATGCCTGAGGTCCTCCCAGTTCTCAGGGCACTTTCTTCTCCTGGAGTAAGCAGGTCCCTGGCCCATCACAAGCAGGCTGACTGTCCCAGGGTGACATAGCAAGGTCACAGGGAGACCCAGTGCCCTGAACACTGTGCCCATTTTTTTTGCCCACTGGAGCTTGGAGAACACCATAGAAGAGTTGGGATTCTTTGTAACCCTGAATTTTCTGGAGCTTGCTGCCCAGGCACCCCTCCAGCCATGTGTTCATCCACCCACCAGTCCACCCACCAAACATCCCCATAGCCCCTCCTGCGTGCATGAAGCCAGGCCTGGCCCAGAGCACATGGTGGGGAGTGAGGCATAGCAGAGCCCTGAACCAGCCCCACCTGCAGCCCCTCCAGTTTCTCCTGGAAATTGTTCTGATCCATGATCTGGATTTTGTGGAACTTCTCCTCATCTTCTATGTGCTGCTGCCGTACCATCTCTATCTGCCCAAGGATCTTAGAAGGCCAGTTGCTGGCAGCCCACCTGGAGGGGGCAGGGGTGGGCATTGGGGGGGAAGGTTACAGGGGAAATTGTGGGGTGGCTCGGTCAGGCAGGGGCACCCAGGGTGAAGGGGAGAATGGGGGAATCCAGGCGGAGGCTGGAACTGGCCAGGGCTGAGCAACCAGGAAGTGGAAGTGAGCTGGAGACAGCCACTGCCACCATCGGGGTGATGGTGGCCGTCCCTACCCTGCGGCTGTGGCCTGGGAGCTGTGGTGGGCATCCAGAGAGATGCGGGTCCACAGTGCCCAGTGCAGTGATGGGGCAAGGGGGAGAACGGTGTTGGAAATGAGAGAGGTGATGCTGGGTACCCCCTCACATTCCAGGGTCTGGAGGGGCCTCACCTCCCATGAGGCAAAGCAACAGCCTCTAGTCTGCATTTTCTTGGTGACCAGCCAGGCCACCAGGCCAGCTTCCTTCATACCAGACTGACTCCCTTTGCTGGCTGATGTGGGGGCTCTGTGAAATTCAGGGATTCTGCCTGCATCTGGCCTAGGAATGCTGACCCCGGGGAGGCGCACCCTGAGTACCAGGATGTCCTGGGAAGCCGGTGCCTTGGGGCTCTTGGCAGGGCTCCCAGGGGACAGTGCCAACCTCTTCCAGGCCCCAACATTCTCAAGGCACCCCTGGCCTGTGAGGCAGTGTGGGCAAGGGATTTCTGGGGGCCTCAGTAAGGCAGTCCGAATCTAAGGCTGTTTCCCACAACGCTCTTGAGCTGGGTGGGGACAAGTGCTGCTCCCCAGGGACCGACCAGGCGGGCTTTGCCTTCTCTCTGTGCTCCCAACGATTCCAAAGGGCCCCCACAACAAACAAGGGGATTCCAGGCCTGTGTGAACATTTGTGTGTCAGGCTGACAATGGTATAGAGAATGGAGACAGGGTGAGGGGGCAGCAGGGTCCCTAGACCAAGAAGCTCAAATGATTTCCTTCTGCGCCACTGGCCACTTGGCCCTGGCCCCTGTGGAGCCACGGTCTCGGACATCTTGGCTGGCATTTCCGGTGCAACCACACAGCCCATGGCTGCGGGGATATCTGAGAGCCATGTGTCTGAGAGCCAAGCTCCCACTCACTTGTCGTTGAAGTCCTCTGTGCTGAGGTTGTAAAGGAATTCATCCATGACCTGGTAGTCATCCATGACCTTCACAATCCTCTCCTGCACGGACAGGTAGGTAATGAGAACTGCATGGGTGGGACCCCAAAGTGGTCGAGCGCTAAGGAAAGGCGGCTCTCTTCCAGAGAGGGGAGAATTGGGGTTGGGGAGGAGGCGCAGGGTGGGCACTGGGCTCAGGGCTCCAAAGGCCATGGCCGCCACACCTCCAACCCCCAGCCCTCGTCCCATACCTTCCACCCTCCTCGCCTTCCAGATAGCATGGCTCTGAACCTCTACCATGCATCCAGCCTCATAACCTCCCAACCCCCCCATCCTCTGTGTCTACCTCACCTCTAGCCTCCTGGCTCCTAATCTCCCAGCCCCTGCCTGTCCCCGACCCCAGCCCCCAGTCCCCCTTACACCCGCCTCACCTCTAGCCCCACCAGCTTCTCAGGGATGGCCTTCATCCACTCGCGAAGTTCAGCCAGCTCCTCGATGCTGTTGGGCTTCTCATAGATCTTGCGGCTGATGCTGCGAAACTCCTCACAGATCTGGCGGTGGGCGGAGGGCGCTAGGGAGGCCATGTCCCTGTCCCTTCCTGGGGCCTGCTCCTCCTCTTTGGATCTCAGTGTCTCCCAACAGGTAACTGCCCCCCAACCCACCACATCCTGCAGCCGACTTGCTGGGGAGCTGAGGTCTCCCTAGCTTCCTGGGCCCAGCCAACACATGCATGGGACTTCTGAGGCCACCCGCACACCCTCGGCTCCATGAAATAGCCCATCTTCAGGAGAGATTCCCAGGTCTTTCCAAGTCTAGGAAAAGAGGTAGCAGCCCCCATTTCCTGGGACCTTCCCTATGGTACGGCTCCCTGCAGACAGGCGGGGGGTCAAGGCAGGGTGACTTCCAGATCCTTCCACTGGCCTGGGCGTCTGCAGACAGCCCTCACCCTGCCTAGGGACACCTTATTCGTGGGAGCTCACTATGGAGACGAGAGTGCGTGTGTTGTTGCAGTCACCAGGGCCGGGTGCTGGGCACTTACATTGTCCACCTCCTTGTGCAGGTGTTTGGCCAGGATGTCGAGCATGCAAGTGGCCAGGGCCTTGTGCTTCTTGGACAGGCTCTGCTTGACATTGTCGGCGTTTATGTAGAAGGGCCCAATAATGATACTGCTGGGCAGCGAGCTGTCCAGAATCTCTTTTTCCTGCAGGTGGGTGAGCACCACCTCCCGTACTTCCGAGGATGACGGGCAGTGCGTCTGGTAGGCTCTGTGGACAGTGGGCACACACGATGGCCAGAGGGTGGTAAGTGGGTGGCTGGGGGTCACACCAACACCCAGACGCCCTCAGATGTATGCACACACTTGAGGAAGGTGGCAATGTCATTGTTATTCAGCTCCAAATACTTTTGGTATTCCCTGGCGTAAGCCTGCAGTGGGATCATGGCCTTGCGCACAGCATTGGCAATGACGGTCCGCAGCTCCTCCACCAATGGCTCGTGGAGCCCCACGGACTCCAGCAGGGGGTCGCCGCTGATAAAGATGTCCTCCATCACCAGCTGCGGAGCCAAAGGCAGGGGCGGAGAGCTGGATGAGCCTCGGGGCAGGCGGGCAGAGGGGTTGGGGATGGGATCCGAAGCCTGAGTGGGCAGCAGTGTGGCCAATCACAGACAGCGTGGTGGGGGTCGGGGCAGCAGTGTGGCAATCAGAGACAGCGTGGTAAAGGTAGGGGAGAGGGTTTGCTGTGGTGTCTCTGAGAGCAGGCTGTGGACTAATACAGGGCTGGAAGCCCCGGGAGCCCCACCCAGGGGCAGCGTCTTCCTCTGCCTGGGCCTGACTCAGTCCAGTGCCCAGGAAAGGAGCAGACAGGGCCACCAGGTCACTGATAGCTCTGGCTAACCAGTAAGGAAGACAAGAGGGGCCTGGAGTTCCAGAAGCTCTTGGGCGGGGAGGAGTGAGATGTAACCAGGTGTGTGATGAGTGGGGACTTCTGACAAGGGGTCCCAAGTGTGGAGGTCAGTCTGCGTCCACATCTTAGCTGAAGAGAGAGGCCAGGAGGATCAAGAGGGTGGAATCTGGGCCAGAACAGCTGTGGCAGGGGTGGGTGAATGAGCCCAGTTCGAATCGCAGGTCTGACAGTCGCTGTGTGCCCTTATGGGGCACAACAAAATGGGTTCACTAATAGTTCCCAGCACAGCTCGAGGTGAGGATTAAGTGAGCTGTTCAAGAATTGAAGGTCTGAGCACACTGCCGGCCAGGTGGGAGGCCTGAAATAAAGTTGAACTGCTCTACTACAGTTGGCCTGTGCCTCGGTAGCCACGAGCAGCCAGGCCAGCAGGTGCCCTGGGCCTTGAACTGCAGCTATACCTTCTCCAGTTGGGGCACCGCGTGCGTGGCCAGGATGCCCTTGTCGAAGAGGTTGAGCAGAGATGTCTCGAAATGCTCCAGTGGCGTGCTGTAGTGCACCCCCGAGCTATCCAGCACCAGGTCCACAATGAAGAGGGGATTTTTCCGGGGCCTGTGGGGCAATAGTCGGGCTGACTGCGGGCAGGGGCCCGAGGAGGCCTGTGTGCAGCAGATTCAGCCCTCTGCCCTTCCTGCCAGCACGATGGCTCTTGAGCTTCTCCATGCATAAGAATTGCCTCCTCCCTCCTTCTAGAAACCTCTAAGTTAACAGAAAAACACGCACCAGCCAAATATTACTCCATCCCTGCCCAGAGGTCCACAGGTACCGGGGAGAGGGAAGACCACCAGGCAGTCCTGAGGTCATCAGGGCAGGTCAGCCAGACCCTGGGTCCTTGCGGCACCCACGCTCTCCCCAAGAGGCCACCATCCTCGACTTGAGATGCCCACTACATGCCAACAACCCTCAAGCCTACATACCAGCCAGGCCTCCCTGCTGCACTCTGGATTGCCACCCACCACCCACCTGGGCCTTTAATGGGCATCTCAAACATTGTGTCCCCTGGCTCCCGCCAGCTCCCCTCAGGGCTCGGTGCTAGCGGTGGACCCCAAGAGTCAGCTTGTCTCCTCCCCTCCCCTCCTCCCCCTGCACATCCTCCTACAGCCAGGCCCATAGCATGCCACCTAGGCACAGCCCCAAATCCGCACCTCCCCCAAGTCCCAGCCGCGTCATCCCTTGTCTAGACAATGGCAGGAAACCTGGTCTGACTTGTCTTCTGCCTCACTTGTCCCCACAAACCCAGAGCATTGTTTAATCGGATTATAACTCCCCTCTGATGGCTTCTGACCACACCTAGAATAAATCTAGCCCCCGACCATGACCCCAGGAGGCTCTGTGATCTGGCCTGTCCCTGTGACCTCTCCCATATCATCCTGACCAGCCCTCCCCACTCCAGCCATAGCAGCCAGCCCCTCCTTCCTTGACCGCCCCAAGGTCTTCCTCCCCTCTGAGCCTCCACATGTGCTGGGCCTTCCACCTGGTACCTCTCCTTTATATCTCCTTGGCCGCTTTCCTCTCAGTCTCAGGTCTTGACTCAGATGACCTTGACCCCCTAGCGGAGGCCCCTGCCCCACCCAGGGTCTGTCACAGCCCCTGCCAAGATTGGCAGTGACTGTCTATTGATTCATTGGCTTGCTGTCTGTCCCCCATGAGAGCAGGAGTCAGGCCTCTTTGGGTCCCCTAGAACCCCACCAGGTTCATGGCAAGTGCTCAAAGAATATTTCTTTTGACTGAATAACTCAGGGACTGATGGAGAAAATGAAGGTCACCCAGAGATGTGCAAGTCGGAGCTGGTGGGACATTCCCTGGCCACCAGGACCGGGGCCAGGCTCTCCCTGCCATCCAGGACCTGGCAGTGCTGGGCACCCCGGTCCTGGCTGCCCCGCACCCCCCACCCCTACCAGCCTGGCCACTGGGGCCTAGCGAGGAGGAGTGGTGGCGTCCCCCAGCGCCTGCACTCGGCCAGCCCCACCTGTAGGGGCTGTTGATGAGGTCCTCGCCCCAGACCATGTCATCAGGGCAGTCCAGCACACCGCAGCAAGCATCGCTGATGAACTGCGAGAAGCTGGCCAGCGAGTCCTGCACCAGGAAGCGCAGTGTGTCCTGCAGCATGTACTTGAGCAGCTCCATCAGCTTGCGCAGCTTTGACATGAGGTATACCTCCCAGTTGGTTTCATAGAGATTGTACCAGCCCTTGCTCATGTCACGCAGGCTGCTCCGCATGGCCACCTTGAGCGTGCTGATCCAGCTGTCCTTTAGGAACATCTGCACCTGGAGTGGTGGTGGGTGGCATCAGGCAGCAACCCCCCCCCAGGAACCTGCTGCCCACAGCCACCACACTCAGGGACCCTAGGCACCAGGGTGCTGGGGCAGCCTCAGGACCCAGATGACCGGGGAAGGTTCTCCCCCGACCCCAACTGACTGCCAAGCCCTACCAGCCAACACCCTCCTGTGACCCTGGGGACTGGGGCTCCTCTGGGGGAAGGAGGGGGGAGGGGCAGCAGAAGCAGGACTTTCCCTCCAGCTAAGGGAGAGACAGAGAGACTGAGACACAGGGCATGAGCAGAGACAGACACAGAACAAAGCAGGACCAGGAGCTTTTCTCCTGGGCCATCTGGTGATGGTCTCCCACAAGGCTGCACCCTTCTTCCCGCATACCCCCATCCTTAGCGGGTATGTGGAGTTCCTGCTCTCCAGGGTTGGATGGAAAGTGACTGGAAAGGGAGCCTACCCTGGGTCTCCTCTCCTCTCTGAGATGAGCCATCCCCCTGGGTACCCCCCAGCCTCCCACAAAATCTAGGTTTTAAGGAGAACAGGGGCTCACGGCCTCACTGCTGGCCAGTCAGTTCCAAGGCTCCGGCCTGCGTGTGGCCCTCCAAACCCCGGATGCCTATGTACCTGCGAGAAGGTCTGGGACTGAATCTGCTCGAACTCTTCCAGGCGGCTGTACTTGGAGAGGTTTGAGTGGAACAGGGACATAGCGGTCACCTTGTTGCACTCAGCCCGCACCTTGCTGAGGGCCGTGATGACCTCTGGCCGTGTAAGCAGGGACACAAAGGTGAAGTCTTCCTTCTGCTCCCGGAAAGGGTACTCGGGGACACTCACCAGCCCTGCAGGGGTGGGGGTGGAGGGCCAGTGTCAGATTGGCCTGGGACACACCAGGGGTTAGGATGGATCTACAGGGTGGTGAGGGAGAGATACAACTCGTGTCTCCTCCCTAAGAGACAGCCACATCCCCAGGACCCCTCTCTTCCCACGGCTTGCAAGCATGGCCCTGCAGCTTCGCAGCGAGCTGCCCACTCTGGGGTGAGTAAATGGATCCCCTCCAGGCCCCTCTGGGCCACTGACCCCTTTGAAGTGGATGAGAACCACAGACCCTCTCCCCCTTCACTCCTGCCCACTCTGCACAGAACCCAGCACCAAGCAAGGGAGATGTGGGCACCAGGACCTTCGCAGTGCCCACCGTCCATGCCCTACCCCAGCTCCCTGGACCCTTCACACGCGTAGCAGCTCGGTCCAGGAAACGAAATTCCCAGGCATCGGGGAAGTCAAAGAAAGGAGGGCTTGGGGGAACTGCTGTCCTACTCGGAGACGCAGTCTGCCACGGGTCAAATGGGCCACAGCAATGCCACCTGCTCTTGCTGCCCTATGTCCCTCAGACCATCAGAGCCCTTCCATCCACTTCTGAGCACTTGCTGTACTCGAACACATTACCTGCTTCCTTCTGTGCTACTCAGACTACTGGATTTTATTTACTTACTTACTTTCTTACTTATTTATTTATTTTAAGAGGGGCAGAGGGAGAGGGAGAGAGAGAATCTTAAGCAGACTCCATGCCCGTGGAGCCGGATGTGGGGCTGGATTCATGACTCTGAGATCATGACTTGAGCTGAGATCAAGAATCACACGCTCAAACGACTGTGCCACCCAGGTGCCCCAAGACTCCTGTTATGTGTGGTTTTTTTTTTTAAGACTTTATTTATTTGAGAGAGTGCAAGGGAGCGAGAGAGTGAGCGAAGGAGCGAGCGCATGAAGAGCAGAGGGAGAAGCAGGCTCTCCACTGAGCAGGGAGCCCGATGTGGGGCTCGATCCCAGGACTCCAGGATCCAGACCTGAGCTGAAGGCAGACGCTTAACCGACTGAGCCACCCAGATGCCCCAAGACTCCTGGTTTTTAAAAGAGCCTTCATGGACCACTCCCCCCACCCACCCTGCCCTGGCTCCCTAGGCAGCTGGGGAAGCAGCAGGGTGAGTGCTGGGAGTGTTAGGTTTATGGACCACCTTACAGGGAGGGTGGGAGGGCTCCGGCTAGTGGGGTGGCCAGGGGGACCGCCTTTGTCCAGCTGCCCTCACCTTGCCTGGGCACCTTCTCCTCTTCCTTCTCAGGCAGGGTTACATAGGAGAACGTGTCAGGCTTGGATGAGACAATCTGGTCAAAGTTGATTTTGTTCATGCTGCGCTCATAGTCCAGGTTCACTTCTCTGGAGAGACTGCTGAGGTGCTCCAGAACCCTGCCAATAGGGAAGGGGGACAGGGAAGTCAGGGGGCTCCACACACCGTCACCCCCATGCTGTGGGCTGGCTGGGGCCCACTCTGCTCTAGCATTGACCTGTGTTTGGGGATTCCCCTCCAGATTCACGGGCACACCTCCCACCTGGCCCCCAGCCACCAACCTCCATCACCCTTGTCCCCTGCCTTTTAAGTGTCACATCCCCCTCCCCCATCACACCAGTCCAAGTCTGCCTATTTTGCTTCTCATTTCTCAGTGTCATCCCAGCAGAGCACCATCCCTGCCTGGTCCCCTCACTTCCACCCCTGCCCATTCCAATCTACTCCCCATAAAACTCAAGTCTGAGCACATCTTTCTCTTGCTAAAAATCCACCCTGGGCCCCTGCATCCTAGGATAAAGCCAAACCTCTTCCTGGGACCGGCCCTTCCCTGTTCTCCTCTCTGGTCACCTTCCTGTCCCCACCCCCACCCCAGCTCCAGCCACAGGCAGCCCCTCTGGGTTCCTGGAGGCACTCTGAGCTCTCACCTCAGGGCCTTTGCATATACTGTTCCTTCTGGTGGCCACACTCTGATTGATCCAGTCCCTACTGCTGCTGGACCAGCCCAGGCTCCTCCCTTGGGGTTTCTACCTCAGGCATGCTTTGCCCCCTCTGGATGAGGGCAGCCTCATTTTTTTTTTTTAAAGATTTTTTTTATTTATTTATTTGAGAGAGAGAATGAGAGAGAGCATGAGAGGGAAGAGGGTCAGAGGGAGAAGCAGACTCCCCGATGAGCAGGGAGCTCGATGTGGGACTCGATCCCGGGACTCCAGGATCATGACCTGAGCCGAAGGCAGTCGCTTAACCAACTGAGCCACCCAGGCGCCCGAGGGCAGCCTCATTTGTGCCCCAAAGTTCTTCCCCTGTCTCAGTGATCCTGACCCCCTGAGGGCACATTTTTCATTCATGCACTGTTGTTCCCCCAGCCGGAATCCTCTTCTCCCCTTACTTTTTCCAGGACTTAGCTCAAATGTTACCACTCAGTGAGGCCTTCTCTTGACGGGAGAGCCCCTCCATGACATCTCTATCCCCTTGTCTTGCTTTGTCTCCACAGTATCTATCAAAACCCTGAATCACCTTGTTTTCCCATGGTGTCTCTCCCTGGCCAGACTGAAAGCCCAGGAGGGCAGGCCTTTCATGGGGTATGTTCGCTGCCCCGCCCCTGTGCCTGGCACAAGAGGGAGACTTGCCTGCCTGCCTCACATCCACTTCCTCCTCATTGCACCTCACTGTTGTTCTAGGACTCTCTCCTTTCTCACTTGACTTAGGGGAAGTTGACATGTCCCAGCTCTGGGGTCATCTCACCTGTCTAAGCCTGTTGTGGTGGAGCTTGATCAGACTGTTAATTGGTTTAGGAGTGGGAACATGATCCAGTTATAATCAACAACTGCAGAGCTATAAAATCAAGCCCCCTTGTCCCATCTTCCTCAGGACAAGTTCTGGGGTGTTGTTCATGCTCCAGAGCTCCCTGTGAGATCCGAGGCCCTACTTCTCCTAAAACAGCATCTCTGCCCAGCTGTTCCTTCCATTATATCCTGCTGCCTTCACTCCCTTAGATGTCTCCTGGGAGGACTCCATCAATACATCAGTTGTACAAGAATCCCCCCAAATAGGCCCAGCTTCGAGGGAATCCAATCTAGGGCAGGACCCAGTGGACTCTGGACTTTGTGCTTCTGAAACTGTTGCTGCCATTTGCCTGGGGATGAAGCTAGCACCCACTGGGGACAGAGCCCTGACGCACTGAGCCTGGCGCGCTCTGCATCTGATTTCTAGTTATCAGTAAAGCAGGGCGTTTTCCTGCTGTCTAAGCCAATCTGAGCCCAGCGTATTTGTTATAAACAGCCCAAAACATTCTCAGGAATATAAAGCCCGAGAAATGGCATTCTGGACAACCAAGGTAATGGTGGCCACATCAATGCCAACCTCCCCACATGCTCTTAAAAGACAGAAGGAAAGAGAAAAAAAAAAGAAAGAAAAGCCAGGACAAATAACACTACCAACACCCAAACCGTTAGCATACGCAGCATAAAGAAAACGCCCAAACCTCACATTATCTTTAAGTAGAAAAATAATTGTCAGTTCCCAGGGAGATGCAGCTCACCCTCCTGCTGCCACCCTGCATGGAAGACAGGGGTAGTCTCAGGGAAACGGTGCAGAAGAGGGGTAGCCCCCAAGCTTGGTCTGAAGTCCTGCCAGAAAGAGAAAGTCCACCCCAACTGCAAAAACACTGACCATGAGTCCCGGAGAATCAGAGCACTTAGGACAAGGAAGGGACTTCCGTGCATCCATTCAAGGTAACATTCTTTGAAAGGCATCTTGACGTAGGAGGGAGAAGGTAAAAGAAAAGGAGGACTTTCGAGATTGAAGGGTGATGGGAAAGGAAGCCAAAGTGAAAAATTAGAGTCCTGCAAGGTAAGAAAAAACAACTTAGGAGGACAACCCCTTCCCCAACACACACACACACACACACACACACACACAGCCATCCACTTAGAAAAAGAAAAAAACTGATTTGCTCTCCTAACAGAAGAGGGCGCCCTGGAACTGGGAATCTTGTAAATCATCCCAAATCCAAGGATGGAATGGGTGAAAGTAGAGGACACATAAAGCTACTGAGAGAGAGAGAGCACCCACCTTACCCGATAAAAATTCTCATCCAACCCTCAAAGAAAAAAACAAAGAAAAAGCAGAAGAAAACTAGCACAGCACTTCAAACCGAACAAAATATCTTTAAACAAGTGTTTGGGAATATGAAAAACACCTTGAATCAGAATTTCACAACTAAAACAGAGAAATGGGCAAATAATAGGAAGAGACGAAAAGCTATTTCATTGAACTCAGGGAAAAAATGGAAGAAACAAAATTAACTCAGGAAGGAAGGCAAAATTAGGAGGTGCCTAAGGAAGAATAGAGTCAAATAAAAAAATGTAATAAAGTACATTGAAGAAAGACTGGAATATAACCAAGAAAATGAAAATGAGGGGAAAAAAGAACCAAAAAGGGATAGAAATGGTTAAATTAGAAATAGGTAAAGAAGAAGCAAGATGATAGATGAGATAGATAGATAGATAGGTAGATAGATAGATGGAGAAATATAAGGGAACCTGATAAGAAAAAACAGGATAATGGAACAGACTAATATTTAAAACTATAATCCAAGAAAAATTTCCAGAAATAAAGAATATCTGAATCTATGTATTTAAAAGGCCCACTTTGTACTTAGGAAAAATGACCCAGAATGATCAACTCTGAGACATAACCTAGTAAAATGATTAGACTTTACAGATTAAAAACAAACAAAAAAAACCCTAAGGCTCCTAAGCCAAAAAAATCAAACAACTTACAAGGGAAGGGAAGTTAGACTGGCATCGGGTCTCTCAAAATCAACATTCAAAGCAAGGCAACAAAAGAGCAGCAAAAAAAAAAAAAAAAAAAAAAACCCTCAAGCAATGACAGTGTGAAACAAGAATTTTATATCAAATCAAGTTGTCTGTCAAGTTTTAAACATGCAAGAACTCTGGGAACACTATACTCTTGAGCCCTTGATGAGAAACGTACTAGAAGAGGAGCTTCGTCCAACCAAGAGATTGATGGGGTTCAGGACACACTTCCCCAAATATGGCATCTTGACATATTGCATGTTTTAAGCTGAAGGAATTTGAGAAACGGGCTTCCCCTGAAGCAGGTCACAAGATCCTCATGTGAGACGTGCCCTCCTTACCCAGAGGAAAGGGTGTCTTTAGCTCCAAGATGGAATGACACCAAGAGGAATCCCAATGAAGAGGCCTTGCTAAGTTTTCCTCAGTTTACTACCCTTAGCTCATATCCTTCTGTCTTGCCACAATTCCCACAGCCTTCCACTCTTCATCAAACCTAGCATAGGTTTAACCTGTTCAGGTCTTCATTTCCTTATGAAGGCTCTCATGTCAAGGGAAACATATAAATTGGTAAGCTCTTCTCTTGCTAATATGTCTTTGTTACAGAGCCTCAGCCAAAACCTGGAAGGGTATAAAGAAAGAGGATTGTTCTTTCCTCCCCTGCAAAATGATAGGAGAAACTTCAGGAAAAAAGTCTGATATACTCAATTGACTTAATTGTAGATTTAAGACTAAAACAAAGATGGGGCACCTGGCTGGTTCAGTCGGTGGAGTGCGTGATTCTTGATCTCGGGATTGTGAGTTCGAGCCTCACGTTGGACATAGAGCATACAATCAATTAATCACTAAAATACATTTAAAAAAATAAAAATAAAAGATAGAGATGATAGTAGAAGAATATTATATTAAAATAGTAAGGAGAAAAAAGCAACTAAAAATGGGAGGAGAGGGGCGCCTGGGTGGCTCAGTCGGTTGAGCCTCTGACTCTTGGTTTCCACTCAGGTCACCATCTGGGGTGGGGTGGAGGTCCTGGGATTGAGCCCTGCAAAAGGCTCTGTGCCCAGTGGGGAGGCTGCTTCTCTCCCTCTTCCTGTACCTCTGCCCCTGCCCCTGCTCGTGCTCTCTAAAATAAATAAATAAATCTTTTTTAAAAAATGGGAGGAGAAAGGGATGAGGAAAGTAGAATAAAGTCAAGATTGTTACAAAGGAAATCAAAGGGAGTAGAAGAATACCATTAAAAACGGACAAAGCAGATATTAACAGGTTAAATAAGAAAGCAGGGGACGGGGGGCACTATAAAAGGCTTAACTACAAAAGAAACCGCTAAAATAAGGTACAAATCTGCCCAAATACCAAAAGAAATTTAAAAAGTGAGGGGTGCCTGGCTGCCTCAGTTGGAAGATCATGGGACTCTTGATCTCGGGATTGTGAGTTCCAGCCCCACATTGGGTGTAGAGATTATTTAAAAATAAAATCTTAAAAAAAAAGAAATTAAAAAGTTAAAGAACAAAGAAACTACATCACATAAAGAAGGAAACAGAATTGAGATCAAACATAGCAGCTCTATCAATAAATATGAATGGGTTTAACTCACTTATTATAAGAAAAAGATTTTTAATTTGACTCACAAAGTAAGACCGGACTATATGCTGATAACATAAAACTAACTCAGAAAGGCTAAAAATGGAGGGATGGGCAAAAATATATCAGGAAAATGGAAACAACAAAAGTCAGGTTACAATTCTGATATCAAACAAAGTAAAATTCTGGTAAAAAAGTATTTGACCTAAAAAAAAAGAAAGCGGGGCGCCTGGGTGGCTGTCGTTAAGCATCTGCCTTCGGCTCAGGTCATGATCCTGGGGTCCTGGGATCGAGCCCCACATCGGGCTCCCTGCTCAGCGG